AACTGGCACACATGAGGACCGACCCAGGAAAGGAAGACCAAGAGTCACCTCTGCTTCTGAGGATAAGTTCATCCGAGTCACCAGCCTCAGAAATCGCAAGTTAACAGCAGCTCAGATCAGAGACCAGATGAATGCCACACAGAGTTCTAGCAGCAGACCCATCTCTAGAACAACTGTTAAGAGGAGACTGCGCCAATCAGGCCTTCATGGTCAAATAGCTGCTAGGAAACCACTGCTAAGGAGAGGCAACAAGCAGAAGAGATTTGTTTGGGCCAAGAAACACAAGGAATGGACATTAGACCAGTGGAAATCTGTGCTTTGGTCTGATGAGTCCAAATTTGAGATCTTTGGTTCCAACCGCCGTGTCTTTGTGAGACGCAGAAAAGGTGAACGGATGGATTCCACATGCCTGGTTCCCACTGTGAAGCATGGAGGAGGAGGTGTGATGGTGTGGGGGTGTTTTGCTGGTGACACTGTTGGGGATTTATTCAAAATTGAAGGCACACTGAACCAGCATGGCTACCACAGCATCCTGCAGCGACATGCCATCCCATCCGGTTTGCGTTTAGTTGGACGATCATTTATTTTTCAACAGGACAATGACCCCAAACACACCTCCAGGCTGTGTAAGGGCTATTTGACCAAGAAGGAGAGTGATGGAGTGCTGCGGCAGATGACCTGGCCTCCACAGTCACCGGACCTGAACCCAATCGAGATGGTTTGGGGTGAGCTGGACCGCAGAGTGAAGGCAAAGGGGCCAACAAGTGCTAAACACCTCTGGGAACTCCTTCAAGACTGTTGGAAAACCATTTCAGGTGACTACCTCTTGAAGCTCATGGAGAGAATGCCAAGAGTGTGCAAAGCAGTAATCAGAGCAAAGGGTGGCTATTTTGAAGAAACTAGAATATAAAACATGTTTTCAGTTATTTCACCTTTTTTTGTTAAGTACATAACTCCACATGTGTTCATTCATAGTTTTGATGCCTTCAGTGAGAATCTACAATGTAAATAGTCATGAAAACAAAGAAAACGCATTGAATGAGAAGGTGTGTCCAAACTTTTGGCCTGTACTGTATGTGGCATCAAATACACCAGTAAATGCCCTCACTCTTGAAAGCTTGAAAGTGACCATGGTGTAGGGCTTGGCGACATGGACAAAAGTTCATATCTCGGTATTTTCCAGGCTGAATGGCGATACACGATATCTATCTCGGTATTTTCTATGAAATGTGCTTCATGTTCAGTGGCAAAATGCATGCTAATCCACAGCTAATGTCGCCTGTTATTTTTGCTCCATGTGTTTTTCCACAGCAGGGCAGCAGGTAAAAGAAGTTCAGCTGATGGAAGTGAGCTGTTTGCAGAGGTGCAGTAAGAGCCTGTTGTCTGCAGCTCTTCATTAACATCTCACTGTGGCTGCTTCTGCTTTCACTCTTCCTCCCTGCCGTATTATTAGACTCCTCTTTATTGATGAAAAGCCGATAACAAAGTTCCACTAACTCAGTAATAACACATTTAATTTCCTGTCGATTCTTCACAGTATATCTAAAGTAAAAACAGGACGCAGGACAGAAACTAAACTCCAAACCACAGAGATTCAGTTAGAAGCTACAAAAGTAGTGAGAGCTGAAAACACACAGAGACTTTCAGAAACACTTTTCTCTGGTCTTCTGCAGACAGAGGTGAGTTCAGTGTCACAACACCCAGGCTTGTTTGACAGGGAGAAGAGGGGTCATCAGGGGTTGCCTGCAGTAGACGAAACGTAACCTAACGTTAGCTTTTAACTTCTAGCGATTGCATTTACACTACAAAAATCATGAAAGTGTTCATTTGTAAAGATTATCTTGCTGAACTAAACATGTGAGTGGAAAAAAGATGTTTGGCACCAACCTTATTTTCTGTAATAATCCAAAATCCAATAAAAAAATCCCATTGGCTCTCTGCCCAGGAAACCATGCTGATGCTAAATTCCAGGCTGCAAGTAAACGTCGACCCTCTTTTGAGCCAAAGAAAATGCAATTGACAACGACAATTTGGGTGTTAACCAGATATCTTGCCTCTACAAACTCACCCCATTTGATTAAATTTGGAGTGCAGCCTTGACTCCACTACGTGTCTGCTTTGCTTGCTCCTTCTCACGTCCCATTTGCTCCCTATTTCTCTCAACCTCTCGCTTTGTCCTCAACTGGGTCAGGAAACAGACACTATGAAAACCAGTGCATGTATAATTATAGTCACTTAAATTGCTTTTGTTGTATCATGCAGCTCCTCTTCACAGTTAAGTGTCCAGTTAAGTAATGTGGTGGCCCACGCTCTCAATGAATACTGTGAGCTTCATTTGACTGAAAGTGCCTGCTTTAAATTGGCCTTGAATTAGCACGCACAACGCCATGCGCCGTATATATAGACCCAGTGACTCCAGCTTCATACATTTTGGAATGACATACCCACACAAATGTCTCCATTCTCTTTCAAACCGCAGGAATGACTTATAGCATTAATTACATTGATCCATGCCAGCTTAATGAACCAATAATGTGTGCCTGCCATTGCCAAGAAAAGGCGCTATGACATAATTAATGACTTACCGCTCACCATGTCAGCAGAGCCCTTATCAGTTCACTATGCGCTATCAGTCTATGCATTATGAATCCTTATTAGACAGCCTCCTCGTCACTGCACAGGCTATTAACATGACTTTTAAAACATGCTGCGCGAAGGCCAAGCCTTAATTCAACGGCTCAGTGATTTCAAGGTGCGCTCCAGCTTCAGTGTGTTGATTTACCGCCGTCGTCACATGGGCCAAGCGCAGTAGGAGGGAGATTGTGTATAGGGTGAAAAAGGCTCATGCTGATACACTCTGACGGAGGATTTAGCTCAAGCAACACGAGACAATCTATTAAAATACTGTATCATAGGAGAGGCGTATTGTAAACCTCAAGCGTTGCAATTAAATGTACACGGTCTAATCCACAGACTATTGATTTTTGGAGCTGCAGCACAAATTTCCTTTGTGAGTTTTCTTATACCCATCTATTGAAACTACAAATACGAGGCGCAGTAAATTATAGATAACACTGGATCCTCTCTGTAAACTTCTGAAGAGCACTTATTTAATTAATTCCTGCTCGCAAAGACAATCTTATCGCTATATGCACTGTTCAGAATTTCACCGACAGTAATCAAAGAGATATTCCACAAGAATGAGAGCAAAACCAATGACCCCCCCTCACACTGAAATATGCTTCAAATGCTACACTCTGTGCTTAAAGGCAACTCTCACTACTTTCAAGTGAGTCAAACTGATCAACTCAAACACTGGTCTGGAGTGCCATATTTACTGCTATGATTCTGACCCAAATGCTAATGATAGCTATTAAGGCTAGACTGGTTAATGACATCGAGGGAGCTGTGAACGTGGCGTGACCGACTTGGGTGTTTTCATGTGGGTATGATACGGTAATGGGATTAACATGGCGTACCTAAACCCACATTGAGATAAGCTCAATGAGGCCCTATTAAAAATACATTGCTGGCAACAATGGAGTTATGGAGGGAGCGGGTGAGAATGAATGTGTCTGACTGTGTGACTTTGATAGAAAATGTGCCCAGCTGTGCCAACTAGGAAAAAAAGAAACAAACAGATCAAAAGGGTCGGTGATAGTGTTTTCTGAATTCCTTATTTTTTCCTCTCTATTATGTATTTTCTCCATTTGTCTCTGTGCAGTTGTTGGAAATGTGTGGGACTAACTACACAGCATAAAGAAGGAGCATTACCCAATACAGGAGAAGGGCAATTGCTGCATCTATATGTCATGTTCACCTGACACTGAGTAAGCGAGCATCAATTAATGAGGTGAATGCGTGCTGTGTGACTGACTCATACATAAAGGGATGTAAATTTAGCTCCTAATGAACACATCATTTGCCTATCTTATCCCAGCTCCATTATTAAATTAATCCATTATTAAGATAATCTATAATCTTTGTTGTCTGTCTGCGGTTCCTGCAGGGGAAAGAGATCTCTGCCAGCTGATGTCAAACACTCAAGGACACAACAGTGTGCTACAGTCTTCAACTTTAAATAGTAACTTTGCCATTTTCAACCCTTTTTTCTCATGTTTTTGTGTCTAAGTGACTAATGGGAACAGCAATTTTCGAAATTGGTTCAGTATTGAGCGAGAGCGGTGCAGCAGACAGTGGTGAAACAGACTGCAATGTAACACTAATTGTGTGACACTGCTTATTTTTGCCAATAACAGGCTTTTCACTCTAAGTGTCTGACAACATCATGGAAAGGATCCTACAGAGGCAGCCCTTTTTGTTAAAATTGCTGTGGACAAATCCACCAGACTACATTTAAATAAACTGTAATTTTATCATCGTAAAACACTTTATTGAAAGTCAACAGAAATTATATGACACTCACAGAAACAGTCTTGGTTCTTCTTTCTGGTGTTTTAACAATCCCCAACTCTGGTTTGGTTGAAATAAATGCTTATTCACACTGTAAAATGTGAAAATATGCTGGCTCTATACTGACTAAAATGACCTTTTTTTTTTCAATGGAGTCTGGTGGGTTTGCCGATATTGATTGTGGGGCTGTTTCTGGTTGAACAAAAAGGGGCTTACTCTTTAACAAATGATCTATCTCTGTAAGATCCTTTCTACAATGTTGTCAGACACTTAAAATAACAATGTGAGCCTGTCAGTGGCAAAAACAAGCACTTCAAGTGGACATGAACTGAAGGTGCACTATTGCCCCACATGGTTATATTGTAGCCTGTTTCGCCACTGCTGGCTGCAAGGCTCTCAATCACAACTGGACCACTTTCAAAAATTGTTGTCTACTATTAGTTACTTAGGCAGAAAAACAAATCAAATAGAGTCCAGTTAAAAAATATCAAAGTTACCCTTTAAGATACTGAGAAGCTGTGTGATACATTTCAGGTTTAAACTCACAGAGTGTATGAAGTGAATAAAAAATTCAGGGAGTGCCGTACCGGTGTTGTTGCGATAAGGGCCTGTGTCTGGCCCCTGGCTCTGGCTAAGGCTCCTCATGGGGCCCTTGTTGTGGTAGACACGCTCTTCATAGATGGGATCTATGTGGTGCTCTGGGGACCCCAAGGGCCGAAGGGGCTCCTGACTGTGCTGACTACTGTAGGAGCCACGAGAGCCTGGAGAAAAGAGAGAGAAAGAACATAAAAAGATGGAAGTAAGATACGCAGGACAAAATGAAGAGGAAGGCAAGAGGGGGGTAAGGAGGGGCGGTACGGAGGAATTGAAGGGATGGATTTTAAGGAGATAAGGAACAATGAAGGAAAAAAATAAAGGGAGGGAAGATGGGTCGCAATTTCGTGCAGGAAATGGTAAGAAAGTGGAATGGGAAGGCAGTGATAGGAGCCACAGAGGATGGAGAGGGTGAAACAAGATATATACAAAAATGGCACAAGATGGATGGGTACACAAGAGAGGCAAGACAAAAGCAAGGGAACAGGTGTGTTGATGATGGGTGAAGGACAGTGATGATGAAAGGGAAGGAAAAGGAGGAGAAAACAACACTCGACTCAACAAATAGACCTCTGTTTTTAGACCTGTCCATTTCACCCTGGACCTTGTTTTTTTTTTACAGATGTAGCTTCAAGTGACAAACAGCACACTATTTATATGGTGGACAGATAAAGGTGCTGTGTGTGTGTGTGTGTGTGTGTGTGTGTGTGTGTATGAGTGGTAGAGCATGTGGTGAGTTAGAGCATTTAGATGCACCAAATCACAAGTAGAGAAAAAAAAATGACAGAGAAATAAAGGGAGACATGCAGAGAGACACGTGAGATAGGAAGGAATAGGCAGATAGTGAGAGAGACGGTGACAAAGGAGTGAGAGAGAGGGATGCCTCTGTATTTCATTTTTTTAATCTCCACGGAACACATTGCGGGTCGTCAGCTATAAAATAATGAGATGTAGTGTCCCCCTTCTTGCTCCGTGTTTGGCAGGAATCCCACAGAACACAGGGGCAAGGAAGACATTGACAGCAGGCATTTGTTAATTACACAGCAGATCAAATGTAAGGCCTCCCTCTGAAAACACGGAGTGAAATTAAAATTAGGAAGGAGTAGAAAAAGGAGGGGACTGGGGGGAATATGAAGACGAGTCAGCAGGGCCAGGGGTGATATGGCGGGAGATAAAGTGAAAGGACGTGCACATACTCGTATATACACACAGGCTTAGAGAGCTCTGAGTGACTGAGGGAAAAGGGAGACGGTCCAGCGGAGCTAACGTCGTATCATATCGCATTAGCCCTCAATCGATGGCGAGTCGCGTGCCAAGCGTTTTCCAGCGGAAGCAGGGGGATGAGTGCGGTGCTTCAAGACTCCGATTCAGACCTCGGCGTGTATCCACCATCAACTTGGCACAGTCAAAACCCCACAACCCTTCGGATCACATCAGAAATCGATGCATGCGAGGCACTCAGCCATCTCAGTGGGATCAAGTGCACACTGTAGTATGTAGCCATTTTTGTTGCAGCGAGAGACTGGTGTATATTTCTTGTCTTAGCTGTCCAACAAAGCAGACAAGTCAAAGAGTATTTTAAAGATGAATAGCAGCGAATACTCAAATCCTAAACCTCCTCTATCGAACAGCCCATGAGGTAGAAAGCTGCGAGCACCCTTGGGGATGCCTGAACTTCCTGTACTATACTGTGGCAAATAAGGCAGTGGTTTGCCTCATGATGCCTGTTTGGAGCATGACTGTGGCAAAGAGGCTACTGCATTTCGTGCAACTGTGTCCTCCTTTTCAACAGTGTGGTTAACTGACTGACCTGTTTACCTCCCTTGCTAACAAAAGGGTAGTGTGTCGCCTTTCACACTGAGGAGAAAGACGGACAGATGAAATGAGAGTCCGATTGAGGGAGCGAGATAAAGGATATGGAGAAAATTTGAGGAAATGACAGAAATAAATGGAAATTTTGGAGGCTGCAACACCCACTGAGCTCAATTGAACTTAGGTGAATTTAGAGACAGATAGACGGAGGGAAAAAAGAAGCAAGAAAAGAGACAGAGATGGTCAGAATATGCATGAAGGAGCACTAATTAGAGTCATGGACACACCCATTAACGGCATGACTCATCCCAGCTCCCTCTACTTCCTTCATCTCTTTCATCTTTGAAGTCTTGGTGAGTCGGTTTTATTTCTTTATTCATTTTTTTTTTTTTTTTACTCGCAAGGGCCCACTCGTGGAAGTACTGACCTCTTTCTTTCAAAAGGAGAGAGAACTTTAAGAAGAGAGGGAAAAACGGAGAGAGATGCCCTCCCATGATGTTTCATTCTGTAAAATATTTTAAAAAGATAGCAAAATGCAAAAACCAACTCTGGTCCCTTGATGCCTCCGTCTTGTTTGTGTAGTTAAAAAGAAAGCAAACTAGATATAGCACCTACAGTAAGAAAATAAAATATTACATTATTTGTTCTGCTTTTACATGTATTTATAGAAAACAAGTGTTGCTGCTCTGGCTCAGTATGCATTTCTTTTATTTTGATGATGACGTTTCAGCCTGTGAGCCTTCTTCAGGGTCAACAGTCATATGATTTGTATGATTGCTGACCTTGAAGAAGGGTCAAAGGACGATACGTCATCAAAATAAGATGTGATCAGTCTTGGATACATGCGGTACCTGCGGTTTAAAGATCCAATAAAGTTTATACATACAGTACAGTTCCTACATACTATATACAGTCCATACACAGAGGTGCCACTATTCACAATACCACACACTCAGTACCTACAGTGCATGTACAGACTGCCATCAGCCAACAAATTGCATGCTGCCCATTACATAACAAATAAATGAAAGAAAAATAAATGCATAAATAAATAAAATAAATGCACATGAAGCCAGAGTGTGACACTTGTTTTCTCTAATCAAGTCCACCGCCAGTGATCAGCGCCTTGTTATAATTCTTGGGGTGTGTTACTTTTATATTTTAAACTTCTTTTATATGTAACCACATACAGTACCTACTGTAATTCTGGGATTCAAGAAAGGGTGGTATGTCTGCAAAGTCAAAAGGACAGTTCACCCCAACAACAAAAATACATATTTTTCTTCTTACCTGTAGTGATGTTTATCAATCTAGATTGTTTTGGTGTGAGTCACTGGGTGTTGGAGATATAGGCTACAGAGAAGTCTGCCTTATCTTGAATATAATGGAGCTAAATGGCACTCAGTTTGTGGTGCAAAAAATTACACCACTCAACAACAATGTCTCTTTCCAGAACTCATGACTTGGTTGTTTAAGATAATCTACAGACCTTGTTGTGAGCAGTTTCATGTAGGAACTATTTCTACCAAATTATATCCAACAACCAAATCACAGCACCGGAGGAAGTGTGCATCTACTCATGAACGAGAGGCTCATGCTCATGACAGTGTAAGTGCAAAAAATTACAACACTCAACAACAATGTCTCTCTCCAGAACTCATGACTTGGTTGTTTGAGATAATCTACAGACCTTGTTGAGATAATCTACAGACCTTGTTGTGAGCAGTTTCATGTAGGAACTATTTCTACCAAATTATATCCAACAACCAAATCACAGCACCGGAGGAAGTGTGCATCTATTCATGAACGAGAGGCTCATGCTCATGACAGTGTAAGTGCAAAAAAATACAACATTCAACAACGTCTCTTTCCAGAACTCATGACTTGGTTGTTTGAGATAATCTACAGACCTTGTTGTGAGCAGTTTCATGCAGGAACTATTTCTACCAAATGACATCCGCCAACCAAATCACCGCACTGGAGGAAGCGTGCATCTACTCATGAACGAGAGGTTCATGCTTGTGATGGCATGAGATGTAATCATTAATGTGTCCTCCTCTGCTGAGCACATTAGCTAGCAGTAGATCCACGTTTCCTACTGCGGTTGGTGTAGCTCGATAGAAAGGAATGCTGCGCATGAAACTGCTCACAACAAGGTCTGTGGATTATCTTGAGTAACTGCGTCATGATTTCTGGACAGATACATTGCTGTTGAGCTTTTGAAATCGCTTGAGCAGTTCCAGCCAAGTGCCATCTAGTTCCATTATGTTTGAGAGAAGGCATACATCTCTACAGCTGATATCACCAGCACTCGGCAACTCAAAGCAACACAATCTAGACTGATAAATAGCACTACAGGTAAGAGGAAATATATGTATTTTGATTTGGAGATGAACTGTCCATTTAAGACTCAAAATCAGGTGATCATAAGTGTCCAACAATCTTCTGGGCCAATCAAATTTAAAACAGAAACAGACGATATCTGAATATCTATCACTGCTGTGCCAGAGGCTCCAATGTCAACCACTAGTCAATGTAAATGCCAGTGAAGCTCTAAATATCAGCCCATATTTAAATGTTATTTATTGATAACTTCTAATTATCTGACTTTGCTAAAAGATCCCTGTCAATCATTTTCTTCAGCTGGGTGTTATGCTACTGTTACTTTGGCAATGTTTATCCACAATGGACTGTATAACTTGGGCTCTTCAGGCTGAAAGCACAGAGAGGACATTTCTTTTTTTAGGCAATTTGGGTTTTACGCAGCTTAACTCCAGTGTAGAGTAGGTGCTATAGAGCTGTTAAGTACCTCTTGAAACAGGCTACTCACATGAACTCTGGTGTGCTTTTTCCAGGAGGATGTCGCCCACAAAGATAAGCAGACCTTTAACTAATAGCATCTCCGATAATTCTTGGTTGGTAGGATTTTAGAAACATGGTGAGCATTTGAAATTAAATATCTTGTATTTTCATGAATGGGAAGTTGCCTTAAAATTGCTCTGATATAATCAACCACAGTGTGGTAGTCCAAGCACACGAGAGCCAGTTCTGATAATCATATGACCCAGGTCCGCTATTAGTAGTGACAGTCTGAGATCTCTTTTCCATCGGCGCTCAGTCCAGCTCAGTCCTTTGCTTTCTTCTTCATTTAAAGTCTTCAGGAGAGATGAAACCCCAGGCGTAGCTTCAAGATCACAGTTATGCCCTCAGGGTAAAGCATGAAGGTCATGTTCTTCATCAATACAGCTCTGAGTTTAAAAGGACCAATCAATTTGACTTACTCTGCCGCTTCAAAACACTGCCGCCTGGGTTAATCAATATTAATCTTGTCAAATATTTCATTAATGTTGCATGAAAAAATGAAAACACTGAATCTGAAAAAAAAGTCAGCCTGACACTAAGCAAAGGACATTGATAGAGAAGCACAAATTGACTATACTGAGCTCTCAGGTAAAACTGGCTCATAGTTAAACCCCTGAAAAAAATAACTGACACACGAAACAAAATAATTTGTCTGCAGTTACATGAAGAGCAGCAGCACAGGGTAAAAACTCGAGTCGAGCCAAATGAGAGAAGAAAGCTGTCTAAAACTATTTTCAGTCTGAATGGTACTTGTAACACAAGTCTTGAGAATTTAAAGTCCTTGAAACAGTGGACTATCTACAGTATTTCATTTAAACAGACACAAACAGCCAGCCTCAAATAAAAATTTTACACTACACTACTATGGACCATAAACAGTTTCCACAACACATTTTCATTTTCAGTTTGATATTCAGCCAACTCAATTTTGTAGAGTCAAGAGAGAGAGCCATTAACTATTCAGTGCAACTGTAGGGGCAAGTATAGGTCTGCTGCTGCCTGTGCTGAGAGACCAGTGTCATTCTGAGCCACTCAGCTACCAGACACAGAAAATAGATCTCATTTGATGACACAGACTCATGTTATTCGTCTTAAAGCAGGTTTGTGTCTGGTAGTCACAACAGATCTGCTCATAAATGGCTCATAATTCACAAATATAACTGCTGGACAGCAAGTGCATTCATTTCCAAGCTCTTCTTTATAAAGGGCAGCCACAAAGACGCATTGATGCCTCTCGTGAAGTGGGCGATACAGAGTTGATAAGGTTAAGATACCAACTGCAACACACTGATGCAGATCTTGACATTTCTTAGCATGGCCGTCAGATACATGGCATGTAGCATGGGCTCCCTTGTGTAGCACAAATGCCCCACTGACACAAGATGCTGGTTAAGAAGCAAAGTAAGGTTGCTATATACCCTTAGTAGACTTACACACATCTTTAGGTTTATGTGTCCGTGTGTGTGAGACTGCATGAGTTTGTGAACTCCCACCTGCCAGACTGCCAGGCCTCTGAAGTGTAGCAGTGGCGTAGAGCTCGTGGGAGATCTTGTACTGGTCAGAAGCGTGGTGAGCTGCCAGTCGTTTGGGAGACAGAGTGGCATAGCTCCCTATGCCTGAACTCATCTGCAAAGACAAGAATTGTGAATAAGCTCAGTTCTACACCGGTGCAATTACCGCTCATTAAATTACAGTGTGTTGGCAGCAGATACGTAACAGTTGACACAGCTGATATGTCTCAATTTGTGTGGTTCGGATAGAAAGCGTCTGTACCTGTATTTTTTATTTATTTTTTTTTCCATTTACTTTGCCAATTTACTTTTGTGTCTCTATCCAAATTAAAAACTTTTGTAAAATGGGCTTATGAATTTAAATCAGCATTTTGTGTAAACCATGTCCAAACCACTTAGAGTTAAGAACATAATTTAGGCTAAGAACACTCAGGCAGAAAATACTTTTTTATCATGGCACAGTGCGAGATATTGAATATAAAACATCCAACAAATTTACCTTCAGAAAACAGAGTTTAGATCAGATGTATTTTTGGAAAGATGGCCCATTTGAAAAATTAAAACGGACTTGTATAGATTTATGTTTGAAGATATGACTCAATCTGTAATTGCTCTGGAGCGGCACGATACCATTCTTTGTCATGATTAAAGATCTGACAAAGTGGACAGGAATATAATCCTCCCTCTCACACTGAGCTGCTTGGCATCAATCAATAATATGAGTACACAATATCATACTTAAATAGAAAGCTTCAACTGTCAATTACAGCTTTGTTCAAGAATAGCAACACTGGGTGTTATTACTGTAAATAATGCACTTAAAATATAATCTTTGTACTATTATGCTGCATCTAACAACCACTGTCTGTAGAACAGCTTGCTCTGTAATGAAAAACTGTAAATGTGTACAAAACCGTATGATAAACAGGGTAAAATACACACATTTCTCCAAATTATTTGATTCAAAATAATAAGCAAACCAGTGCGGTGCATTAAATATTAGTATTGGCCACAGGGGAAAATCAACATGCGAAGGTGCATGATATAATTCATTTGTTCATCAGTCTTCATATTGATTTTACTCAGACTTTGAAGAACATAATTGCATGAACTCCAGTGCTGTTGCCATGGTTCCATTCATTACAATGTTTAATGATCTGCAGCCTCTGCAATGCAATTTGAATGCAAGCTTCACATACAAAAAAATATTCTAACATCAATGAACCTCTTTCTACAGGTGTAAGACTGTGGTGTTCTGTACCTGGTGAAGAGGGGACGATGATGAGCTGGCCCCTCCCCCTGCCGCTGTAGAGTTGGGTGGAGATGCGACTCTCAGGGGAGACCCGCCCCCTCCTGCTGTTGTCACAGCAACTGTGGTGCTGGGAGACAAATGAGCAAGGTGACATCATTTGTATGAAGTGTAATGGCTTCAAATGATTCATTCCATTTCACATGTAGGAACAGTTATATGCTCGGATGAGAATATTTCATATTCTCTCAGCATGGCAGCATAGCTTGGAAGACAATAACCTCTAAAGGCAATTTTCCATTCAAATTCAACTGTAGTCACTCATTGTTTATTTATCTTTCCTCTCATGCTGTCTGTGAAACTTATGAATGGGACTGGCATGAAAATACAGCCACTCTTTTAAATGCCATCTCCTTTATCCACCTTCAAACGCCATCGCACCATCAGTATCAACAACAATACATCAAAATCAATATCAATACAACAGCGACTCTCTACCTGTATGACTTGGCCAGTCGATTAGCAGGAGACTGTTTGCTGGGAGAGGAGGAGGAGGATGGCAGGCGCTGAGTAGTCGAGTACCCCGGTGTGTCAGAGGCTGATCCCAGGCGTTGGAGTTTACCCGGGGAACTGGATCCCGAGCCTCCTCCTCCTCCAGAGAGAGGGGAACTGACACGCTGGCTGGGTAAGGTGGAGCTGGAGTAGTAGATACCTGGAGAACAAGTGAAGGGAGAGAGAAATCAATAAAGGCTGACATCAGTGGTTCTTAGAGTCTCTGGGTGGGGGTCCTGGAAAGGATACCACCTAGGAACTCTATTGTGCTGCTGGAGGACTTCAATGCTCATGTGGGCAACAATGGAGGAACTTGGAGGGGGGGGTGATTGTGAAAAATGGTCTGCCCATTCTGAACTTGAGCGCTGCTTCGATATTGGATTCCTGTGCTAGTCACAGATTGGCCACAACAATTACTAAGCACAGAGTGATTCATAAGTGTACTTGGTACCAGAATATCTTAGGCCAAAGATCATAGACTGTGTAAAAGAAGAGGGCATAGCTACCATGACATCACCCATTGATTTGTGGACTACTGTACTAAAGCCTCAAGTCTGGCAGTGGTTCCCAAGTGGTGGGTCGTGGGTCCATTCTGAACGGACCACACGTGACACCCGAACTTGTCAAGTTTGTAGAAAACACACTTTATTTTGAAGTACAGTAAATCCGACACAGAGCTTTCATTTTGAAGTGCCGTTTCCTGCTGTACATTGAGCGACTACCAGGCAGATACTTGACACAGATGGCAAACTTAAACTCTGTAGAGCAACATAGGCAGGACTTCAGGACTCTGCAGATGGGGTATAGTCCTTCCCTCGCTCGCTATCGTACATTCAGCAACAGATGAAGAAAGAGAGACCGAAGGTTGTACATTGTGGCAAACTCAAGCATCAGCAACCTAAGTTTCGGAGAAGTCTGAGTGGGATGAAGTTAGCTGCATAGGTCAGCCTCTCATTGGGCGGAACGAGCCACCCGCTGAAGTCCCGCCCTACCACCTCTGGTTGTGTAGCAGTTTTCAACCGTTTTCAACACGTCCTTTATTAACTTTTGCTGTGTTTGATCTTGCGGGGATGTAGCCATTTTTCTGCCATGGTTCGTGTGCTGTAGGCGATATTTTTGTGGGCGTGTTACAACAAAACCTGTTTCCCCCCGGCAATATTTTTGCAAGCGCACCGTTGCTGTGGCACCGCCCAGAACGACTGTGATTGGTTGAAAGAAATACAAGCAGCCGGAGAGTTTTTTTTCTCCAATCTTAAAGTGAGAGTCGGCCCAGCCAGACCTTTCTTTTCTTGAGAAAGGTCTGGTGAGGGAGACTAGTTTCGGAATGACAGTTTTGAGGCGGGACCAAAGGAAGCGCTGTATCAAGTGTGAAGTTGTTGGGATGAGCGGTTCTCGAGAAAGCCGCAAGCTAACCACAGTACCTCACTCCTGTCTGCGTGCACACCGCAAGAGAGGAGAGGAAGGGAGAGACCCTTTGGTGCTGCTGCCAGAGGAGCCACTGACTGGGTTTACTCTGAGCAGCAAGTCGCTAAAAGGGTTTGAAAAGTCACTACAGGTCTAGGGAGAAAGTGTGTGTGTCAGGTGCCAGTGTGTGAGTAGGGGGTGGGGATAGTAGCATTTGCCATATAAGATTCACTGCTTGTTTGAGCTCATCATTCATATTAAATATTTTGGGGCGTGCCCGGCCAGGCATGTTTGAGCACTACACTGGTAATTTACAGAATGAACATGATGCTGTATTGAAGAAGACTTAAAACTAGTGATTGAGGCCATAAATATATTAAGGTGCAAACCACTTAGAGTTAAGAACATAATTTAGGCTAAGAACACTCAGGCAGAAAATACTTTTTTATCATGGCACAGTGCGAGATATTGAATATAAAACATCCAACAAATTTACCTTCAGAAAACAGAGTTTAGATCAGATGCATTTTTGGAAAGATGGCCCATTTGAAAAATTAAAATGGACTTGTATAGATTTATGTTTGAAGATATGACTCAATCTGTAATTGCTCTGGAGCGGCACGATGCCATTCTTTGTCATGATTAAAGATCTGACAAAGTGGACAGGAATATAATCCTCCCTCTCACACCGAGCTGCTTGGCATCAATCAATAATATGAGTACACAATATCATACTTAAATAGAAAGCTTCAACTGTCAATTACAGCTTTGTTCAAGAATAGCAACACTGGGTGTTATTACTGTAAATAATGCACTTAAAATATAATCTTTGTACTATTATGCTGCATCTAACAACCACTGTCTGTAGAACAGCTTGCTCTGTAATGAAAAACTGTAAATGTGTACAAAACCGTATGATAAACAGGGTAAAATACACACATTTCTCCAAATTATTTGATTCAAAACAATAAGCAAACCAGTGCGGTGCATTTAATATTAGTATTGGCCACAGGGGAAAATCAACATGCGAAGGTGCATGATATAATTCATTTGTTCATCAATCTTCATATTGATTTTACTCAGACTGCCAGAGGAGCCACTGACTGGGTTTACTCTGAGCAGCAAGTCGCTAAAAGGGTTTGAAAAGTCACTACAGGTCTAGGGAGAAAGTGTGTGTGTCAGGTGCCAGTGTGTGAGTAGGGGGTGGGGATAGTAGCATTTGCCATATAAGATTCACTGCTTGTTTGAGCTCATCATTCATATTAAATATTTTGGGGCGTGCCCGGCCAGGCATGTTTGAGCACTACACTGGTAATTTACAGAATGAACATGATGCTGTATTGAAGAAGACTTAAAACTAGTGATTGAGGCCATAAATATATTAAGGAACTAGACTTGTATATTATCGGCTAATGAAAAGAATACATGTTTAATTCTGTGTTGGCTTCTCCTTTCAGACCCAGAGATAACCCCCTTGGCAAAGATCAATGATCGACTTTGTGTTCATATCATCAGATATGCAGCCCTAACGTGAGAAAATAAAACATACTGCAGGCTCTGAAAACATTTTACAAGCAACAAAGTTTTTGTTCCAATTCTCACGCATGTCCGTCAGTGTCTCTGAATGTCATCTCTGTGTATCCACAGCACTTCATGCTACGTCAGATTAATTTATTATAAGGGGAAAGCATTGCCGTGAACGGACACGGAGAGGAACAGGAGCAGAGAAGGAGAGGTGAGTTCTTACCTGACCCTGCCCCAGTTTGTGATTGTTGCTGCTGGGCTGCACGAGTAGATGTCACCTGAGTGGGTGTGGGGGAACACAGAGCGAGTGAGGGAGGAAGAGCCATGACAGGGCAGAAGGGATGAATCGAGGGAGTGATTAGTGGGGGGAGGCAGAAGATGAGAGAAGGGAAAGGGAGAGACAGAGTTAAGAAAAACGGGATAAAAAAGAATACAGAATAGTGGCCATCAAAAACTTTTATGCACAATGAGTACAGTCAAGCCTTTGAGGAGTCCCAAATGAACCTCAAGCAGCTAGTAATGAAATCCCCGCAGAAAACAGAGGGTGATTCAAACAGACTCATAGAAATAGAGTCCTAGGAGTTCAGCTGACTGAAATCATTTTTCATAAAGCCTTGTTGCACCACCTACTCAAAGGAAAGGAAAAGCTTACACGGTCCGCAGTGTATTCATGTCTTCATATCTATGATCTGTCATCACATAAACCTCAATATTCACAAACCCTTAGAATAATTGAATCCGCTACTAAAATTGGACAAAAGAGCAATGATTATCACACAATGTACTGTGAGTCAGAGTCAAAATTAAAGGAGGGTGGTGGAAATGTAATCAATTCCTAACAGACAAAAAGTGTGTCGTGTGTGAGTCAAAGTTAGAGCGTAAGAAGCCTTTCTACGACACACCACATGCTGGTCGATCCTAATATATTCCCCTAAGTCTCCGGAGACGGTAGGGGAGAGCATATGCCGGTGAGCCTCATATAGCCTTATGTTGATGCTTAAAGCTGTAAAGGGGATTCAAATACATTATTACTAGTCTGACATGGCTGCAGTTGTACAAGGCCACATTATGCAAGCACAGTCACCTTGGAGCACTGTCATCATTGCATATACAGTAGTTACTCTCGGGTTGTCAGGGAACTTGAGATACTCAAGCCTTCTGTTTCCTAGCATTAACGTTATGAATACTCACACTTTCATACACCACTTGTCTGACGCTGTTCCTGTTTACTGAAAGGATGGACTGGTGAAACGACGCACAGGTAAAATACACATTGAGCTATGGCAGCTTCTGTGTATCATCTTACATGTTCTTGGCTCAGCAACACGCTGACACTGTGTCTTTGTCTGGGCGTTTGTGTGTAGATGTGAAAGTGCTTATGAGAGGGTTCAGTATAGCATTCAACCTTGAGTTGCTGATCCACGCTGATCTCAACACACAAGAGGTAAATCCTGATGGAAACTGTAACTTAACCTGGCTCAGCTACAAAGGATGGGCTGAAATTTACTCTCAACCCCAAAACCCCTGGAAGGTAAATATACAAGTAGGAGCATCACCACAGGCAAAATCTGTGGCCATCAAGTCAGAGATGGAAGTGGTTAAACAGTAACTGGTTAATTTGAGTCCAATTAAAATCAGCTGTGGATATGCTCTTTTTATTAGCACTCCTATCTAGGCCAGTAGCAGGAGTAAACACAATTCCTGCCTCGCTTCTTTCTCACACAAGCGACTTTGCAACTATAATTTGTCAAAATTACGCTGAAAGATTCTCAGTGTCAACAACTTCCATGAGTTTGATTCCACAAATCACGATTTCCTCAGAAGTGTCAACAGCAATCCCAGTCGCTCAGCACATTCAGCCGAAATCAAGGGTCTCATTTTTCCACCAACTTCCATAAATAAACCTTTTTTGATGTCAACTCCTTCCAAACTACCGAGAATATTTATGTCTTTGATGCTAGAAAAGCACAATCCATTCATGTTGTTCTCGGTGGTTTCTCTTGATTATTCTTATTCGTCCTTGTTTTTGGCACCTAACTGCTTCAACACTGTGCAACGTGGAAACTTCATTCAAAGTGTTCAGCTCAATGAGAACACCATCTGAGTCACTGTTAGTGTTCGTATCTCTCCTACTCTCCAAAATATTCAATGCTTTTGTTGCATTTTTTCCCAAATTAAATGAATGGGCAAATGTTCAGTTAGAAAAGGTGACATCACATGCAGAGTGGGATCAAACTGTAAAAATCTTCTTAAAAATATCACTTCAAATTCCTCATTCCCCTGCAATTGTCACTCTTCATACATTTTTGTTTTCATGAAAATGTAGAAAAACTAAACTCTAAGCAAACAGGCTTATACATTTTGCGCTATGGGCCTCGAAGTGACAGCAGTGCCACCCAACTGCCCCACTGAGTCAGCTGAGTTAACCGAGACTAAAAACACAAAAGGGGCTTTATCTCATTCCATTTCCCACATTTTCGACACCACGAACACATAATTTACAGCGATGAGTTCAGCAGAGTCCACTCTTTCTCATGGTGTAAAAACCTAAGTGATATAAAGGCGCACTTTTTGAGTAATAAGCTAGAGTTTGAGTGTTGCTTCTCAGCTTGATCTCCATTGAACAAACTGTCTGACTCTGGAGCCGCTTTCAGTTACCATCACCATGGCAACCATTAATTGCGGGTGGGGGCACACAACTGTTGGAGACTGGCTGATTAGACTTCATCTTTGATCTCTCTGGTGTCACAGTAGCGTTACTGCAGATGAACACAGGTGTTATTTATAAGTGAACAGTCTGATACTGGAGTCTGGATTTTTAAAATAAAAGCCTCAAGATGTAACAGGAGTTTATGGCAGACTCCATGAATGCTGAAGAATTTCAAAATAAAACCTCAACTACTTTTTTCTTAACACAGACACACGCACACACACACACTCCTACACAGCAGAGCATATAGGGCTCAGACTTCAGCTGAAGCTTTAACCTTATTCCAACCGTAACTCTCATTTCAACACTATATTTTGCCTCATTTATCCTTTTTGTATTATTCTAACTCTTCATTCTCCTTCAGCTGCCCCTTCATACACACTTTAACCAACAATGCAGTTTAGCTCCTAGCCATTTATCTAGTGATGCTGTTCAGCTCCCAGCGATACATAAAGCACTACAGTCCAGCTTCAGGCTTTCCAGGCTCCATCTACATCCATCCATCCATTTTCGTAACTGCTTATCCTCTTGATGGTCGCGGGGGGGCTGGAGCCTATCCCAGCTGACACTGGGCGAGAGGCAGGGTACACCCTGGACAGGTCACCAGACTATCACAGGGCTGACACATAGAGACAGACAACCCTTCACACTCACATTCACATCTACAGGCAGTTTAGAGTCACCAATTAACCTGCATGTCTTTGGACTGTGGGAGGAAGCTGGAGTACCTGGAGAAAACCCATGCACGGGGAGAACATGCCAACTTGCTGTGAGGCAACAGTGCTAACCACTACACCACCGGGCCGCCCTCCATCTACATGTACACAGATATTTTCCTTTACGTTTTGGCCTCTTGTCCACCAGCAAACAGAGTTTTAGGTCACTAACCTGGAGAATTTTAAAATGCCTTCTAATGTGCAGATTGTTCAAAACTCTGGACATGCCTGTTGTTATTTTGTGTAATGAACATACGCTAGAAACGACAGCAATAATGGCGGACTACAGGTTTGCTGACGTTTTGTTAGCACTGCTTGGTCTAACAATTACTTTACACTTAAACTTAGTATTGCTGCACCATTTCAAAGACAAACTGAGGCATCTGCTTCACCCAGTGTTTTACTCCACAGTGTCTGTGGCTTAAAGTCCACCAGAAACAGAGGTTGAACTAGCAGATGGTGGGACACTTTCCAAAGTGGGACTGTTGTTGAAAAGGACTGGAAGGAAAACTTTCAGATACCCAGCGCCTCACTCATGTTTGAGTGAGCACCTACATCCTTAAAATGGTGATGAGATCTCCAGGAGGTGTTTTGAAAAAGGTGCACTTTACTACCTTTGTGATGAGGAGAGACTCCTTATGAGAGCAAACGCCAGCAAGCATTCTGAGTCGTTTTTGCATTCTAGAGTGGACGGAGGAATTTTGTAAAACGAAGGTCATGTGGACAGAATTATTTTTTACAACAGAAGAGGAAATTATTCGTTTTCAAAAACATCTGAAACCATGTAGATGGACGAGGCCTCAAGCAATGCAGTATAGCTCCTGGCTGTCAATACACCATTGCAGCTCAACACCAGTTTTTCAGCAGCCAGCAATTCCACTTCAATTTCTTCAGAAATTACATTCTCTAGCTTTCATCATCCCTCTGGAAATGAGAAAACCTGGTGTTACCGAGACTTACACCATACATGTAAATAACGTCAGTCATGCTGCTGTAATTGAGCATTTTCAGACTGCAAATATAAACAGTTTTAATGGGATCATGTGCTTAAACGTGTCAGTATCAATAATTTTACCATAATATCCTGGTCTTTCTAATAGCTGGAACTAAAGCTTACCACGGATTAATGCAATTAGCTGCAGTCTTTAAAGAATTGCTCGAGTATTTGAGGCGTTAAGGGAACCTATGATAAGTACACAGGTAAAAGTGTGTTCCGGTGTCACCTGATGTGTTTGTTTGGGTGCACATGGATAAAGGGCTATTAGAGAGTGGATTATTAAAAGTGTCTCTAAACAGCCAGAGAGAGATCTTAATCGGGATGTGAGCCACTATTCAGAGCAGTGTGCGCCATAAAATCTCCTATATAAGTCCCCTGTGTTAGTTTAGTAGGTTATGAAGCCAAGTGAGCGATCTAAGGCTGATGAGATGCAGGCCACAAAACTGAGTTTAAAGGGAGGTTGTTTTGCTTTTCCTTATTTTCTATCACATACTGTACATGATGTTACAATGTCAGATGTTCATATTAAACGTGGCTAAAGCATCAAATGATGAGGAAAAAGTGTGTGAAAGTAATTCCTGTGTAAATCTCTGGCCAACATTTATTTCTACTTTTAAGACAAGCTGAGGTGTCCTCATGACAGATTTCTTTATATGGCTATCTGCTCTGGGCACACTACAGCATGCGTTTACATTACATAGCCTACACTATCACATGTAGCCACATGCTAATGTCAGGGAAACCTGTAATCATTCTTGCTGGAACATGTTTAGTCATGAAGTCTTTAGTTTTGAAGTTTAATGAAATATTTTTCACAGTAGAAAGTGCCGCTATACTCTGTTAAAGTCAATCCCCAGGCTCACTGCCACTTGTAGCCTCAAGCTAACATCAGGGAAACATGTCTGCCGATGTTAATTTCTCCATGTTTTCGAATTATAATCTTGCTTGAACATGTCCAGTTGTGAAGATTTTTGTTTAGAAGCTTTCATGAGTAATTTTGCTACAGTAGGAAGTGCCACTACACTCCGTTACAGTTAATCCCCAGGCTCACTGCTACTTTAGCTCAAGCTAACATCAGGGAAACATGTCATCTTGGTTGCCAATGTTAATTTCTCCATGTTTTGGAATTATAATCCAGTTGGAACATGTCCAGTTGTGAAGATTTTTCTTTAGAAGCTTTCATGAGTAATTTTGCTACAGTAGGAAGTGCCACTACACTCGGTTACAGTTAATTCCCAGGCTCACTGCTACTTTAGCTCAAGCTAACATCAAGGAAACACGTCATCTTGGTTGCCTCCGCAGCGGAGGTCCGCCCAGTAAAAGTGGACGTCTGCAAGCCCTGTGCGCTCAAAGCACAACCGCGCAGACTCTGCTCCGCCACCAGTGTCACACAAAAGACTGTTCGGCATGTATTTTTCACATCGCGGGGATTTTTCACTGACATTTTTACACGGAGTCCGCTCCGCTTATAGTACGCCCGAGTCTGTGAGCACCTGTGTCTGCCTCTTCGCCAAGCGCACAGCGAGCAGGAGAGAGAGGGGGGTGGGGGTGGGGCAGGGACTGAGCTAGGGGGTGCGAGTGTGCATGCGCCAAGGCCTCTACTGTAGCCTGGAGTTTGTTTAATAGTGACAGGGAGTCGATAATGGCGGACAATTTAGTCTCAAAGAAATCAAAAAATGCGCCATGGCAACACTTTGGCTTTGAGCCAGACGAAGGAGGCAACCCTTGTTTGCACTGATTGAGTAAGCTGCAAAATTTATTTGTAAGGAGTAAAAGAAAAAACTTGTTACTGTCACTCTGTTGTCCTAAGGTCGTTTTTTATTTTAAATGAATCAATTGCGCCCCCAAGTGGCGAAAATCTGGTATTACCAACTTGCTTTTTTTTTTTTTTAACAAAAAACGGACCTTTTTTTTTTTTCTCATACCGACCCAACTCTAGGCGCTACTCTCGGTTACAGTTAATCCCCAGGCTCACTGCTACTTTAGCTCAAGCTAACATCAGGGAAACGTGTAATTTCGGTTGCTGATGTTAATTTCTCCATGTTTTCGAATTATAATCTTGCTGGAACATTCCCAGCTGTGACGATTTAAGTTTAGAAGCTTTTATTTATTATTCGTTCACAGCAGAAAGTGCTGCTACACTCCGTTAAAGTCAATTCTGAAGCTGCAAGTACACTGCTACATGTAGCTACATGTTAGCATTAGGAAAATACGTAATCTTTTTTGCCAGTGTTGTTAATTTGTCCCCAATTTCAGCTCATATTTCTGTTGAAATATGTCCAGTCATTAAGATTTTTTAGGGTAGAAAATGCCGCTATACTCCGATTCAGTCACTCCCCTGGCTGCAGACGGTGCAGACCTGAAGCTTTTTGGGAGGGTGGCTTAAAGACACAGGCTCTAAAACAGGGCGTCTCAGACAGAGGGTGAATACAGGTGTTCTAGGACACCCAGAATGAGGAAAATAAAATATTTTTGAACATTAAAGTATGTAAACATGTCCATGTGGAAACCCAAAATACATATGATGATGTAGTAGCTGAAAATGAGTAATTTAAGAGCCCTGTTGATGGTTTATGTTACTTGATTGTGTTTAACACTGCAGATATGCTACAGTCATCAAGATGCAAAGTGAGACAGAAATAGACTTTAGAGTGATGAAGAGGTGAGTGGGTGAATGAATAGATAAACAGATGGATGGGTGATCCGCCGGGTAAATAAATTATGAGTATGGATGAATTGTTGGCTGAGTTAACAAATAAATAGAAAGCCTGATGCACCGTGTGAGGGAGAGCACTTTCTCCATCCCATTCTATGTCATCTTGCAGTGCTGCTTCTATTCTCCTCCAGTAAAACACTGGGATGTTTGAGGTGCCATGTATCCATGCATTATTAAAGCAGGGCCTCTCAGGGTTATAAATACCCTACAGAAGAGCAGCAACATGCCAGACCTCTCACTCTCCCTCTCACTCTCCCTGAGCGAATCACTTGTGCAAACTTTTGTACACACATGGAGTGCACAGTAAACACACACCCCCTTGTGTGCGTATGCCTGCAAGCACACCAACAAAAACCTGCATGTGCTGCACATGCATGCACACTGCACCTGCATATCTACATGTAGTAGCACTGGCTTGCGTAGAGCTATTCATGAGCAACAAGCCCTGCTGACAACACTGGCCCCATTACACTGACAAGCCAAAAACATCAGAGAGGAGGGTACACACACAAATACACACACACTCATGCTCACATAGACAGAGATGGTGAGCAGAGAGGACAGGGAGGGAGGAAGGGGGAAGGGAAAAGAGGACAGGAACACTGCAATACAAGGGAAACAGAGGACAAGAAATATTATAGAATTCAGAATACAGACAGAATAAAAACTCCTTTTTGCGCTATCTGTCTATCCATCTATACACCCGTCTATCTGTATTTCTATCTGCCTCCTGTATTCCCCACATATTAAGGGAAGGAGCCCTCTCTCTGAAACCAGCTCTGAAATGAGCTTTGGTGGGACTGTGGGGGGGAAATGAAATGAATAAAAGTGTTCACAAAGACAGATATCACCTCATTCACCTTTCTTTTTCAAAAGACACGCACAGGAGCAGACAAACACACATATACACACAACACAAAACAAAAATCCATTCAAGTCAAAGAAACCTTGCTGGAAACATGTGCAGGTACTTTCAAAGATACATAAACGATAATCTCAAAGGGCTGCGGTCCCTGTTAAATAATTATCTGGTTCATAATCATTGACCTAATAATATTTCCTCTTAGTTTAAATTCATAACCATCTATCACAAATGGAACATTTGCCCCAGACACTGGCAGCACCTTTTAATGAAGCACTGCAGCTGCTCACTGATTTAGCAGACGTGTGGGTGTCTGTTTGAAAGTACACGCCTCTGTGTGTGCGTGTGTGTGTGTGGGTGTGTGTGTGTGTGTGTGTGTGTGTAAGCATATGTGTATGCAGTATTACCATTGATATGTTAAGGACATGAAAATTGGAAATAATTGGCTCCTGTAGGCTGCAAAGTAATTAGGTGGGTTTTCTCTCTTCATCAGCACACTGCTGTGATTAATATGTGACTTTGTCTCCAGCTTTACTTCTCAAGCCCTTATAAACAAGACACTTGCTGGGATTTCTCTGTGTGCATTTAATCATCTCTTCATTGTGGTCCATGAGCATCTGATTACCTGTCTTCTTCTTAACAGCTTTAAGGAATTTGTCTAACCCTTGTCTCTCACCTCCTGGCAAATACAGACATGCTTTGGGTCGCTTTAAAAGCCAGTTGTCGTGACTCCACCACTTCAGTGAGGCTAATTAAATGTGATTCTGTATAGATATGTACTCAAGCACTGATCAACTACACCCAACTGTGATGTCAAACAAATGCACGTACAGTGAGGGTGCTGAGAGTCACGTGTAGCTGGAGAAGCGCTATGTAAGACTGTGCTAGATAAAGGGGGCTGAGGAAAAAGAAGGGCAATGTTCGCTCAGTCTGTGACGGAATCTGAAGAGCAGCATATACAGTATATATCTCAACACTCTTTTTCTCAACATGCCCTCAAAGAGCAAATAACACAACGCAGCTGCACTTATAAACTGTGGAGAACTCACTTCAAGTGAGTTACCGTCACGTCCAAACTCCTTTGATGTCAGTGATTAAAACGCTCTGGCCATCAGCACACTGTACAAGTTTTCTAAGAACACACACTCAAGTTTACACAATTTGATCGTGTTCGAATTTCTGTCAGTCTGCCTTTTTCCATCATCATCAACACCTGCGTGCTCGTTATCATCTGCGTGCAGCAGCGTTTCCTACCTGGTTGTAGCTGTGCACGGCTCCTCCAACCTGCCCGCTGCGCTGAGGAGTTGCTGCGGAGATGCTGTCGCTAAGGGCGAGGGTCTGGTTGCTATGGTAGCTGGCAGAGTACTGGAGCGAAGCCTCCGGGGTGGAGTTGAGCTGCAAGGAACTCTGGGAAAGAAGAGCCGGTCCTACCGATAGAGACAGGATTGGTGTATGGTTGGGTAGGTGGTGGGGGATGAGTTGAGTTTGTACGTGAGTGTGTGTGTGTGTGTGTGTGTGTGTGTGTGTGTGTGTGCATATACAGAGAGAGGGAGTAGAGAGAGATTAAGAGTGAGAAAGAGAGGGGGCGTGAAGGGGAGAGATTGAGAGGCGAAGAGTGAAATGGGGAAGAGAGAGAGAGAGCAGCAATTTAGAACAGATAGTGCAGCAGTGCAGCACTCTGAGTTGGAGATGGCATACATAATTTATTAGCAGAGGGAAAGAGAAACAGAGGAACAGAGAGAATGGGAGGAGGAGGAGGAGGAGCAGGGAGATGGAGAGGATGGGAGGAGGAGGGCTGAGAAGAAGAAAGTTGTAATGGATAGAACACCTAATAACTTGATTTGTTACCTCCCCAAACATGTTCATTTTTACCTCACACTGTCGACTCGAGCAAAACTCACTTGACCCCTCGTGTGAGACAAAAGAAAGTTGTAGTTGGGAATGAATTACTAAACACTGTTTTATTTCTGTTGTTGTTTAGTACGCTTTGCAGGATATTAAAATATTCATCATATACCTTATCGCCTCGAGGACACTCAACTTGCATACATTTTAACAGCCTAAGCATCGTTTCAAGTGTCGACGTAGAGGACTATACAAACCAAATCCGCTTTAGTCAATGATGAGCATGGCTGTAATAACATACCCCACACACACACACACACACACACACACACACACACACAGTTCAGTAGCAGCATCATCCCTACCACCTGACGCAGCTACTGCTGTGGCGTCAAATAATAATCCCCTCTCTCTGATTCCCCATGCTGCGCGCATAAAGCTTATATTGATCGGGAATAAGAACATCATAAGGCAGTTTGTAAGATGGACTATCTTCCAAACTGCAGCGATGAGGGGAACTGCGAGAAACCACTCGATAGTCGATGGCGTTTGTGCGAGCGGTTATAAAGGTTATCTGTATGTGTTTATACGTGTGGTTTGGTTTTATTGAAGAGCAGTTAGGTCTGTGACCTGTTCACTCAGCGGGGTATAAATATTTCATTAAGTTGCTATTTTTAGTCTCTCTCCCTCCCGAATACAAATCCCATGTATATAACGTGTAATGTCACAGTTAGCGTGAGGAAAAGTAGGGTGGTTTTTTCCCATACTCCCCCAATTCCTAAATATGAATGTGTCCTTATAAAGTCTACAAAAAGTGTCTCACCCTGAGCTCACTGCCATGTTAGTTTCTTCTTTCACCCAAAATAACAACGGCCCCTTATTATTATTCTCCCGTATCTATTTGCTGGCTCTCTCTATCTCTCACTCTCTCCTTCTTTCTCCCCAGAATCCCTCTCTCCCTCTGCGCTGTGAACCAAGATCAACTCCTCTGCTTCTTGCCTTCACAAAAGACTTGTCTTTTCTCATCTCGATTCATCCCTTGCTTTTTATGAATTATTAAACAGCACTTTGAGTTACGAAGACTGAGTGGGAGCTCCCAAACTCATCATCGCTCGGCCTTGGTGTTTGTTACATTGTGCGACAAAAACTGTGTACATTCAGTTTAGTGTTCATATGTGCGATGTAAAGTGTGTTTTTGCTGGATGGTCAGATGATAGGGGAGTGATTAGGTTGGTCGATAGGGAAATAATGTATTTAGGAGCTCGTGGAAGTGCTCTATGTGTGTGTGTGTGTGTGTGTGTGTGTGCAGCTTGTGCGTATGAGTGATAGAAAATGCAAAACACTGTTGCTAGCAGGGTTTTAAGTCATTTCATGCCTCTGTCTTTTCTCACGTGAAAAAAAGAACATTTCAGCAGGTCAGTCAAATTATGAGCGCAGCTGGGTTAATTTCCTGTTTTGCCGGTCCGTTGTACGAGCTCAGCCTGTTGGATTTATGCAAATGGACTGAAATGACATTCGTCATTGTGACACACTCTTATAAATTAAAAAGTAGCCTACATCAGCAATCTGTGCCGACAGCGTCACAACACTAAATCCAGCTTGTACTGCGTTAGTAATGAGCAATATCACAATGTGATTAGTAAAATATTATGTTCATTAACGGACCAACAGAGTCACTAGTGTCTGACAGGTTGTGTCCAATTTACTGCCGAGCCCGAGCACTGGCAACATGAAAAAGATCAAATTTCAGTAAAGGTTGGAGGGAGGGGTCGAGCAGCGCATGTTCTGTTTGTGTACTGGACAGTACATGTGTTTTTAGGGGTTGACAAGAGGAGACAGGGCAAATTTAATCTCTCAAGAAAACTTAAACTGCACCAATGTCAGGGTGTCTACAGATATAAGCAAGTTGAGACTTTTTTTAAGACCTTTTAAAAACTACTTTATATGGAAAATGACAACAACTGGGTGAATTAAGTTTCATGTGTTTAATTTAAAAAGAAAACAAAATCTCATTGCTGTCATAAATGCTACTTATTTTTGTAAAATTCAGAGAAATACCGTGGGAAAAAATATTTTTCTTCGGTCTGTCCAGTCACTGAATCAGTCAGGTGGGAAAAATTTTCATAGTAATGTGACCAAAAGTATTAAAGACCAATTGAATCTGAGACTTTTTAAAGCCTTAAATTAAGAAAACCTAATTTAAAAAATGTTAAGACTTTATAAGAGCCTGTCGACACCCTAAATATGGCAACACTTTGGATTTGAAGCCAATGAAAGAGGTGTCCCACTAACCCTGAGTGACGCAGCTCGTCGGACAACCTGTTTCTAGTCATTCCTGTCATTTTCCTTGAAAGCAATGGATGAGAAACAGCTGATTTATGAAGTTAAAATGAGAAATTATCAATATGAAAGCACCTATTTCCTTAGAAAATACAACACAAGATGGAGGCTTGCTGGCGGGAGTTTGCCAGGGAGCTGAAAGTTTCTGGTAAGTGAAATGACCATTGCTAATACCCAGCTAGACTGACTATACTGTGTGTCATTTACAGTAAATATCACAACATAAAATGCATGTTTTCTGTTTAAATATTAATATTACAAACATAGGAAGATATGCAGTAGGCTACTCTGAGTCTTGCTCTCTTGATCTTGAGAGCACAGCTGATATTTAGGCCTACAGTGGTTTGTTTACATGACCTAACAGAGATGTTTAAGGGATTCAGTGTGGACAGAGGGCTATGATGTTATGCAATGCGATGCGATAGTCTGGCGTTCTTTTGCTCTTGGGACATGATCCGTTATGTTCCACTCAGGAGCGCCTGCTGAGTCAAAAGGGACACTTGGTAAAATTCTGCATACTGGTCTGGTCAGTGTTTGGCTTACGTTGAAAATTTTTAGTCAAACCCCGGTTGTGACCATCATATTCTGACCATGAAATGTTTACACACATGCACCTCACATGAACTCACAAGGGTTATAACTTTTTTAAAAAGTTTTGAGAGCACAAAACACCAGGGCTTTGAGAAGTAAATTTCATTTCATGATATTAACTTTTCTTGCGAGGTTGTGTCTCTCTGAACACTTATTCATCCGCACAGCTCTGTTGTGACACCTCGCCAACTACAGTATCAGCCGACAGCAAAAAAAGCTTCCCTGTTTTGTGCCACCTTTCACTGAAGACAGCGACATGTCACTACTCTGTGTATTTACCGCTAAGCTATTTGCAGCGCTACCATTTGGGGGGAATACACACACACACACACACACACACACACACACACACACACACACACACACACAAATAGCGATGTTGAATTTATCTGCACCCACACATTGTGATGCTTTTGGTAGAAACCCATTTGCAAAATGGGAAAAACAGCTGGGTACAGAGCACCCACAATAAGAGTGCTCACAATGAGAGTGCCATCTATTTGGACTCAGATAAAGCCGGAGTGACAGGGATTCAGGCATTTGCTACAAAAAAAAAGATAAGAATCAAATTATCTGACACGTCTCCTCACTGTTCTGCATGTGCTTAAACATGTAACCTGTTTCTTATCAAAGGACGCCAGCTACAGCAATTTGGGGTAAATCTTCCAAACCAGGTGTCCAGCCTTTGTGCTATCCTACATGCACAGCTTATGATCTGTGCACACTGTACAAGCATTCACATATATATATATGTATAAAGGTTTACCACGCTGGCCAGCCCATTCTAAGAGTACTACAAATGGCACGTGATAAACTCTTTGCAATGAAATGCGCTGAGCAGCATGTACAGTTAAGGTTCCTAAAATGCCATCCATTATAGCAATATCAACTATCAAAAAGGTCAGCAGACAACAAGTGAAATGGGAATGCAGTGTTCCAAAACCAATGACCTGCAAAGAAAATGCCGAGCACATTTAGCAGGACCTCACACGCAGGCTGCCTCTCAATCATTTTTTGGATTGGTTTTATCACAGTAGATGGACCTACATGATGGAAAAGCAACATGAGACTGGATAGTTGCTGGTATAAATCCAGGAGCAGCACAGTGTGTTAATGGGATGTCTGCTTCACTGCTATCTGTTTGTGTCCACATCAAATGAGCAATGACATTTGTATCTGCGCGTAGAGCAGCAACTCTGGTTATGAATTAGGTCTTAAAAGAATAATTTAGCCTCACTATTTCTGTATCAATTACTTTACATTACATTCATGAGACAACTTTGTTTTTCTAGCATGGCTCTATGAACAAAGAACTTTTTGGCAAGACTTCTTTCCACGGCATTGTAGAATCTATGTTACACAGATTGAACCTAATGCATTAATTGCCCCATTCAGTTGTTCTGAAGCTTGTCTCGTGTCGCCTCATACTGTTCAGAGGACGCTGATGGTTGGCAGCAGCAGTAGCAACCAGTATCATTCTCAAGGAACGAAAGGCTACCAGCGCTCCTTGTTTCTCTAGATCAGTGGTTCCCAACTGGTGGGTCATGGTCAAAAAGTGGGTTGCGGTACAGTACATTAAATTTCCAGCACAGAGCTTTTATTTTGATGTGCTGCTTCCTGCTGTAGAGTGAGTGACTCACAGACAGCTGCTTGACAGAGACAACAAACTAGCTCAACGACATGTCTAAATGCAAGCTGAGTGTATTAGACTGTGTGGACCTTGAACTAATGACAGAGGAAAAATCTGGACCCTGTGGCTGAATGGTTGGGAACCACTGATATACAGTAAACCTCAGTGAAATCTCAGGGAGGTATTGGGTTTAATTCAGATAGTTTAGGGAAGTAATCTCAGGGATACATTTTGAGAGACCTCGAAACAACACACTGGGTTTGCAGGATAACTTTGAAAGCACTTAGGGCCCAATTGTTAGACACCCCAATTCTCCTGTCTAGTTTTCTCCTGTTAGTTTTGTTAATATAATAGGCTGAAACATTTTTGTATTTATCTCTGTCTAGTATGTTTGCTTCTGTATTTGGGCCTTGTTTGTTCGTAGAATACTTTTTAGATGAACAATATAATACTTCAGCACCAAAAGGACCACATGTATATCAAGTAAACCACCTGTGTAACACTGAACTTGTGAAGAAAACATTGTTCATCTTGCATGTCTTCGATTGACAAAGAATCCACACACTGAGAAAATTCTTGATGAATTGAAGTAATATTGATCCGTGTTTCACAACAGCAAAACTATATCAAAACATCTGCTTCCAAACGCTTAAAACAACTCGTGTGAGTATGATCCAAGTCTCATTCATCGAGTCATATGCTCAGTACTTCAGAAAACTGACAGCACTTTCCAAAAGGGCGCTGAACTGAAAGTGAAACTTACCTACGCTCTCTTCAATGCCAGACTCCATTGATGAAAACAGTAATTTTACCTCGCTGAACACAGGAGCTGCTGGTCTACCACTGCCTTCATGAGTAGTTTGTTTGTGTTGTTATGTGACTTCGCTGAAGCCAAACTAGCCCTTTTAAGTAACAAAATACAAACAAACAAACTGATCAATGCAGTGGTGGATCAGCAGCTCATGTGTTAAGTGAGGTAAAATTACTGTTTTTGTCAATGGAGTCTGGCTTTGAGGAGAGCATAGATTAAGTTTTACTTTCAGTTCAGTAGTTAAGTTTACTGTTAAAAGGGGCTGTCTGTTTGAGACTGGGATTATACTGCAGGAGTTGTGTGAGAGTTTGTAAATGGATGTTTTGATGTTGTTGTGCGGTTGTTAACCACGGACCTCTATGACTTCAGTTCATTAAGATTTTTCTCCAGTTTTTGATTCTTCAATCACCAGAGGCATGTGAATAAAACATTTCCTCGCAAATTCAGCGTAACATGAGGTGAGTAACTAACACACAAATGATCATTTGAAGGAGGGTGAAGCATTCCTTTAAAGTCCACGGTTTCGGAGTGCATTTGTTAATCGACTACACCAACCTACAAAAAAGCCCAAACTACAGCTTTAAATGCATGTCTCTAACTTTTAGTGTGTGAGGAATATACAAACCCTTTCACACACTCTTACCTAATCTAACTACTGTATATACTTAATGTCTCACCTGGAACAAAATCCTCCCTCGACTCAATTTGCTTACTGTAAGTAGAAATTAAATCTAAGTGAGAATTCAATATTAACACAGGGAATTGCTGCACTTACACCAGATGTCTAATGTCCTACGGGACTAATAAGAGTACATTTTCTCATCTCCTTTCAGGAAACAAAAATAATTACCAAACAATACACATCGTAATTCTCCCGTACCTAAACCAACCACAGGTGTAGTTTTTATTAGGCATCCGTTCCCCCACTGTCACTCTTTTTAAGGAGTCATGCAAAAAGAAAATTAGTTTGCCCCTGCTGAAGTGGCCACTAGAGTCGAGCGGACCTCAATTTGATCTATCAAGTGTTAATAAAGTAACCAACTAATTTCCCATCTAGTAATAAAATAATTCAAGGACAAATGTACCTTTATGTTCTTTGACTGAAAGCAGACTTACGTTCTCCACTGTCAAGTATTCCTGATTCCTGGAGGGAACGAATGCAGGAATCCACCAACTCCAAACCAGTGGTCAACTCGTCCTCGATGTCCTTCTGTCCATCCGCTGCGTAGGAAAAAAAGAGGACGAGGATGTGAGCAGCAAATAAGTGAGAAAACAGCCTATGTGGCCTCTACATATGCAGATTAACACTGACTGTCGGAGCCAACAGTGGCCTTCGTCTGACACCACTGACATGATATGTATTTGAGTGTGTTATTATCTGTCTGTGTGAGCGTGTGTGTGTGCCTCTATGTGTGTTTGCAATCATCTTTTAATCCATCAGGTATGTGGGTGGGTGTAACTGCCCATACATTACCACGCCACTGGTATAAATTTCAAACGTTCCTCGACACACAATTTTACTAGTATGTCAATCAGGCTCGAGGCGGGACGGGCCTTGTTGGTGTCACGGTAATAAATCTGATCCTTAACTCAGGGTGTGTTGTGAATATAAAACCCTGGAGATTTTGTCAGTGTTAGTGTGGGCCACCAGTGAAGGTTTTAAGTTAAAAAAAAACTGCAGTGTAAAGGTCTGAGGGGTCAGATGCAACAATACGTCTGCATGCATGACTGGACAGTATGAGTGTGTGTGCGAATAGTGAACTTTACCTTGAGCGTTCCAGCGAAACTGCTCATCTGTTGAGCTGCAAAAGAAGGGTGTAGTTAATAATAAGCATAATAAAAAAGCACAATAATGTTGCAGAATATACAGGCGCGTTTTTATATCAAAGATAACACTGATGGGTAACGACAGAGCTTTGCAAAATACGAGGAAAAGTAAAATAAAACCTCGGAAATGCCAAATATTCTGTAATGACAGGAACAGCCAGTGGCCTACTTTTCTTTTAACGATCTTTTCTGCTCAAATATGAAAAAACAAACAATAAACCAATGGGAAATAAAGTTAAAGTCACTCCTAAATGTCATTTGAGTTGTTAGTCAGCACAGGCCAATTATTATTATTTTAACAAAACTAACATTTGGCAGAATGAGCTCCTGCGTATTCAGGTAACAGCCCTTTTATTCTCATAGTGTTGTAGACAAACACACATTCACACACGTGGACAAACAAGGCTTCTTTCCCATTCTCTTGATGGCTGTCAATTGATTGGTGATTGATGGGAAGGGGGTTGAACAAAGACAAAAAGGCAAAGAGGAGGTAGAAAGAATCAGACGCGCAGACAGAGAGAGAGTCAGGGATGGGTATTGAGCCGCCTCCTGTGTGATCAATGCAGACACGGACAGACTAACTGATACATATAGACTCTTTCAACTGACTTCATCTACACCATTAGACTTGCTGTCTGGACGAGTCAGCCTGTGTCTGCGATTGTCCCATTTAGACTGTTTGGTATTCCACATACCCGGCTTTTCTAATTGCGCGCCTGTGTGCGTGTGCATGTGCGCCTTGGGTGTCATTGTGCAATTTGTGTCTGAAGTGCTCGTGTGCCTCCATATGTGCACAAGTTTGTCGAGGTATACGAGGATGAGCGAATACATTTACATGTGTTTATCTGTCTATTTGTCTGGTTGACTGAGATGGTAATGGTCTTGCGGACAGGGGCGTTTTCTAAATAGCGTTCAGAGATTGATTTGACTGGTTGAGTAAGTCTTGATTCTAAAGACAGTGGCATCAGTGTCTGTGTGTGATGGAACCAGCTGGAGAGGATGATGGAGAGGTTGTAAAGGAAAATCATTGCAATGTGGAAATATGGTCTAAGTAATACTTGAACCAACTTGAAAAACAGTTTTTATCCAGTGAATTTCAGTCAGCCGGTTAGACAGTGCGGCCGCCTGCTGTCCTCGCAGAACCTCAGGATCCGCACTGCTGACAGGACAGCTGGTTCCAAAGCGTGACGACCATACCAGAGGTCAGAGTCGGTGTGGACTGAACGGATGGGTGCTTCAGTGGCGCTTACAAGCCACTGATGTCTCACTCCAGGTGTGAACGTTTGAGTTACACTGCAGACACCGGCACACCACAATCTGTCACCATCCACACTCCAAATGTATCATTTTAATTAGTAAAACTTGTTTAGACGGTTACAGAGCTTCCAAAGGAACAGAGCTTATTGTTTTTTAAAGTATTCTGACGACAAGAAACCAATCTCTTGACCTTTACACCAAAATAAGGTTTCGAAATGTTGTTTTAGATGTCGACAAAAGAAGGGAAGAAATTCTGCAGCTTTCTACTTTGCAATCAAACACTCACAGGAATCAATATTAACTTTTAGCCTTTAGTCGATAGCTTCGTGTGTCTTGCATTTTTGACTTTGTCTGCCTGATTTCTGCTCGTCTCGCCCCCCCAACATGCAGCTTGTCCTGCATTCCTTTTCCTTTACACACTGGTGCAGCACTAACGATGGACAGATATGAATGTAGGAAACGGTTTGATCAGTTCGGAATTACCAAAGCAGAAATTAAATCACCTAATTATCAACTCACAGCAATGTGGGAGAAAAAAGGTTCAATGGGTAAATCCACTGTAATGAAGCAAATGGCTGTATAGTATTTCTACTTCCTTTAGAAGTAACTGTTTTAATGATTTTTACATGCGCTATCATTTAATCTTTTTACCTGCCTACACACTTACTCTAAACTGTATCACCTCATTAGCACTCTGCATGTTTCCTTTCATTTCACTTAATATTTTTTGCCAAAATGATGCAACCAAAATGAAATGCTTGGTGGAAATAAGGCACTGTGGAATCTGGGTAATATCCTCATTTGGCTATATATTCCTGTTGGTGATGACGGGACTACACTCACATGGACACTGTTTAAACTTGCTTAACAATTACTCTCCAGCTGAGACGGACTTTTTGACTTTCGATTGGAAAAACAAAGCAATACAATGTAAAGACTTTTGGAGTTTGCAGCTTACAATGCAGATGAAACACCCTCATTGTTAGGGCAGCAACAGCCTGAGGCATAGAGCACAGGGTTGGGACCGAGAGGTCACGGGTTCAAACGCATGGACCAGCAGTGAAAATTAAAATAAGGCAATTAATCCCCAGTTGCTTCTCTGTGGTGAATATTATTAAAGAGTGGCTGCACTGTGCAGCTTCCCTTTGTGAATTTTGTTTGACTGTCTGAATATGAATTAGGATTATGTTCAGCAAATCTTTGCTTGGCAGAAAAAGGTTAAAATAAATACTCAGAAGAATGACCAGGGCTTTTCTGCTGAGGCACTGCAAGTTCCCCGCCACGGGCCAGGCATAGTTTCTCTATTATGTATCACGGTTGGAACACTAACTTATTTTTTCTGATGAATTTCTGCTTTTTGATTCCAGTTTGTATTGATATAAGCTTCGGATTCATGCTATGAGTAAGAATAAGTGTCACTTACTGTTTTACACTTCATTCACCAGCAGCATCATCAGCATAAATGTTGGCATCTTACGTCTGCAAACCACAGCTAGGTAACATTTGTACGTCATTATGTAGTAGATAAGTTGAAACTTTATATTTTAACAATGCTGTGGTTAACATGTGGTTTTGTTTAGGTACAAAAACACTTGGTAAAGTTTAGGAAAAGATCATGTTTTGGCTAAAACACCACCTGGCTTTTGGCGGCACAATAATAGCTGGAAATGCAGCTGATGTCTCGCTAAATAACACCTGGACTTTGTGGCACAATGCTGCTGAAAATACTGTGATGTTTGGATAAGAAACACTTAATGTTGGTGGCATAATTATTGTTGGAAATGCTGTTATTGTCTTGTATAAAAAATAATAAGTTTTGTTGTTTGTTGGCCTTAAAGGAGAAGTTTGGTATTTTGCGCTTTGAGCCCCATTTCTGGGTTGTTTATGATGAAATAGAGTGGTTAAGAGCAAAATAGTGACGACTGCTCATTTTCAGAGAATTTGTCTTTCCCCTGCCGCCTATGGCCATGTGTAAATCTGTCCTAAAACCACCCTAAACATTCGTTTTCAAAGCCATGAAACTCACCGAGTGGTCAGTGGTGTTCATTGATGTTCTGACATAAAACTCATAGCAAACTGTGGTTTCTATCCGTGTTTTCACTCTTCATCTCGAATGTGGAACCTAAACCTCTGCTTGATCATTCGTTTGACCCTGAGGCATTATACACTCAAGCCCACTTGATGGCGATAATGCTCCTTTACGTGGGTGTCGCCAACCGGCAGGAAACCATTGCAATGTAATGGGACACAGAGAAGAAGCAGAAGAAGAAGGTTGGCGTTGTGTTCAAAGGCATCGTACTGTGAAGGTTGTTTACAAGCGAGTAATCCATTGCGCAGTTGTTTAAACTTATTACAAAACTTTTTTGTCCGTTCTCGTTTTTCCTCCAGGAGCGCACACAGCACTGCCGAGCCGGCACTTTCGCTGAGCTAAAAGACTACAATGACTACTACCTTGTCGTAAACAAGCCCCTTTCTCTTTCTGGTGGCGGATTACTACTAACGGACAATGAGGCTTCAATAGAAAACCAATGGATTAGATAAAATGTTAAATAAATCATCACGGAAACCACAGTTTGCTACGATTTTTATGTCAGAACATCAACGAACACCACTGACCACTCGGTGAGTTTAGGACAGATATACACATAGTTATAGGCAGCAGTGTTAAGCCAGGCAGGGAAAGCCAAATTCTCCAAAAAGGATCAATCGTCACTATTTTGGTCTTAGCCACTCTATTTCATCATAAACAACCCAAAATGGTTTGGGTTTATGGTTTGGAGAAACATCCAGTGTCAACATTTTATTCTAGACACTGTGCTGGGTTTTTACACACTGGCAAGAGCTGATTCTGGGACAGTATTACTATGACCTGGCTGTATTTTTACACCAAGCTGCAGAAAATACTTCATCATGTCAGATTAATGTCTTTTGCCAAACTTGCAAGCACCAGCTCTGGGTCATATACACATCTGTCGACACTCTGGTGCAGCCTTGCAGACAGACGGGCGAAGCCCAGACTTTGCTCTCGGTATTGCTCTGTGGAATCCAAAAGCATGTTTCTTGACGAATTCAAAGTTCTTTGATGTGCTTGGAACTGGTTCTTGAAACCCAATCCTAATTATAGGTGGAGTGATTACATAGCAGGCAAAATCTAAATCTGGCTGATGCAGAGAGGGAGTGCTGTAGAGCTTGGGAAACACTGGCATTATATATACAGACAGTAAAGGAGGATGATAACAAGTGCGGTGGACGAGCTGCTCTTTCATGTGCCTGCAGGAAATACAACAGAATAACAGTAGTAAACATTGTGTCACTGTGTTAAAGTGTACTTGATGAGAGAGAGAGAGGGAGAGAGAGAGGGGAGAGAGAGAGAGGGGGAGGCGAGGGAGAGAAAGAAAACTTTTGCAGGAGACACTTAGAGAGCTGATAGACGAGAGAGAGAGAGATTTAATAAGCACGGCGTTATTCCACAACATTGCACACTCTCGCCTGCAATGCCAAAACACCGGCGAGGCTGTGCCTCCCTTTTAACAGTGAGCCTGTATTAAAGAGACATTCTCAATTCACCACTCTCAACACAGCTTGTATCAACACACAGCGTCCTCTACCGTTCCCCAGGAAATCTACATGCACGTATACCCACACACTCCACTTTGCATTCACAAACATAAAGACTGAAAGGAAAATATGGTTTGCTCCTGTAGTCCCAATTTGTACGCTGGTGTGTGTGTGTGTGTGTGTGTGTGTGTGTGTGTGTGTGTCTCCTGGGAATGTGAAGAGTCGACTACTTCAAGTATAACTAATGTTTTAAAAAGTAAGACGCAAACACAAACAAGCAAACTTTCCGGTGGTGTGGGAGCCCTGTGGTGACAGGAATACTTTTATTTACCAATTAGAGAACAACTTAAATGCTTTAAGATACAGCAGAGGGTAGGGATAGTGTGTGTGTGTAAATATATACAGTACGTGCGTGTTAGGGCTATGTATTTGCAAGAATCTGGAGATAGGATACATATCTCAGGATACAGAGGTTATGATTCAATATAATAATAATGTTTCAAAACACAGTTACAAAACCAAATAAAAGACAAAGCAATACACGCAATGATAAAGCAGTTAAAATCACTGAAAGGCAATTTAAACAAGTAGGTTTTCCTAAGTGATTTAAAAGATGAGACTGAGTTTGTAGCCCTGATCCCCTCAGGCAGGTCACTCCAAAGCTGCAAAGGCTCTATCACCTTTGTGTGTTAATCTAGACCTCAGAACAACAAGAAAAGATTTATCTGAGGATCTCGAGGTGCGAGGGGGAAGACAGGGCAATAAAAGATCTGTAATATCACCTGGAGCGAGGCCTCTC